CTGCCTTTAAAGGTAGGGTAGGTAAGTTTGAGAAACCGGCTCGAGATCGCTAGAATTTGAAAATACACAACCGGAGAAAATCTGCCACTTCCTTATAGAGCCCCTCCTCCAACACACACGAACGCACACATGACCAATGAGGGCACGAGATAAGTTTGTGCACAGATGGAAGGCTGACAGGCAGGTAGGCCATCCAGTTATTTTAGCCGGGCCGGCTAAAATGATTGGTCGTACTTTTTACAGTATTACGGCTTCCACAGATGACATTTTTTTATGGATTTTTTGTCAAAGCACTTCAGATATTCATTGCTATCGGGATGTTAAGAGCATTCCATGGAATATAACAAAAAGTGTATCTCGAGCCGGTTTCTCAAACCTTTAAAGAAACCCAATTTCTTACAAAGTATTTAATATTCTACCAGTTGTAAAGTGTTGCACACTTCAAAGTGTATCTAAAAGTATCTTAGTAACACAAACAAAGCAGAAAGCATTAATGTTAACAAAGCCTCAAAGGGCTGACTCATGAGCTCCGTAATGTCCCCATAACATGGCACTTAGACTATTTACATCATCCAGGGAAACACACCAGTAAATACACCTCTCTATGTCCGCTCCAAGAGCCTCAAAGGGCGGACTCCTGAGCTCCGTAATGTCCCCCTAACATGGCACTTAGACTATTTCCATCATCCAGGGAAACACAACTTCAAAGGGGCTTCAAAGGGGTTAATAAAGTAATTAAACAATAAAAGATCACTGGGTCATTAAGATCTTTAAATTATTATTACCCACTTCAAAGAGACTTCCTTATAGTTAATAAAGTAATTAAACATTAGTTCACACGCCATACAACTTAAAAGAACATCCTTAATTAACACAAATCATATTAAACTAATCTTTTAGAGAGGGCAATTGAACAACAGGTCATCAGACACTCATCAAAGGACGGACATCAAAGGTTTATTATTAGGGCTGTCAGTCGATTAAAATATTTAATCGCGATTAATCGCATGATTGTCCATAGTTAATCGCGATTAATCGCAAATTAATCGCACATTTTTTATCTGTTCTAAATGTACCTTAGAGGGATATTTTTCAAGTTTTTAATACTCTTATCAACATATGAGTGGACAAATATGCTTTATATGTTTGTTTATTATCATTTGAACAATGACAAATATTCTCATGAATATTAAACACAACAACCTCTGAACATTACAAATATTCGCCTCAATTCAACCTGGAACCTCTCTCATACAATAATACATACTGTGTGTGTGTGTGTGTGAGTGTGAGTGTGAGTGTGAGTGAGAGTGTGAGTGAGTGAGTGAGTGAGTGAGTACTGTGATGGATCGTTAGAGCTATGTGCAGCTCAAGGCATATATGCTCGAACGGGTGCTGCCTGGACGCTGCAATCATGTTGTGTTGTGTTGCAAAAATGCTGTGTGTTAGAAATATTTCCCGCACATGCAGTCACACAAGGAAACATATCACCTTGTACTACTCCAAATTCCCCTAATCCTTGTCTCATCTCTTAAGACTTCTGTTTTTTTAATTCAGTTCCTTGTATGTTACTCGGGTTGATGTTTTGGCACTTCCTTAACTGTGAAACAGTTGATTTATTTGGATCGGTTAGTATCAGTTGAAGTAATTCAATCTCTATTTCCTTGTATGTTGAAGTGGCTGAAACCAGAAACCTCCCAGACACTGACAGATACTCTTCACCCTTTTGCATTTCTTTACTGAAGGAAAAGCAGTAATATCAGCAGTTTCAACTGTGAAATGTGTCCTGATGATCAATCGGTAGGTTTCACTCTGACCTCTGGGTTGACTGTTAAAAGAATGGTTCGCTGTTTATAAGGTAAAACATAGTGAACTAGGGGTGGTACATTTCCAAAAATGAAAGCTTTGATTGTGCTACAGTCATAATAAATCAGATCAGACAGATGTTTAATAAAAAGCTTGTAAATCACTTTTAAAAGCGCTTATTTCCACACACTTTTACGCTTGTTATTGACCTATTTTCTGCATTTTAGCTCAACGAGGAGCCTCTAGCGATGAACCAGGCATCCCCCTCTCAGGAGTTGGTGCCGCTGAAGAAGCGGCGGACACGCTTTTCAGACAAACCCAACTATTCCCTCAATCTGTGGAGTATCATGAAGAACTGTATCAGCAAAGAGCTGTCCAAAATCCCAATGCCTGTGAGTATTTTTAAGAGGTTACTCCAGATCAGATGTGACTTACAGGAATTATGTTAGTTGGCATGACCAGAAAGGACTTGTTGCAAGAATGCATTCAGTCAAACAAGCTAACAAGTGTGTTTTAAGAGCGAACTCATTGACTTCTGGCACCAAAACATTGATGCCAGGCCAATCAAAAACACTGATCATCTTCATGTCTTCAGTTCCTGTTGGACAACATTCTGCCAGAGCCATCCAAGTTTAAAATGGCTCTATTGACAGATGAATGCAGTGGTTCTCAAACTTTTTCTGTCAGGCTTTCTTTGGAGAAAAAAAAAAGTCGGGCCCCCCCAACACAAATAGTCACGTAATGGACCAAGTTAACATTTATTAAAATACATCAATATGAACGTGAGCAAAGTGATAAAAAATCACTTTGCTAGGACAGTGATAATAAAACAATGCTCCATAATTCTGTGTGGTCAAACATTTTTATACATAACACAATTGTGCAATCCCTTTGCTAGAACAATAAGTTATAATACTTTGCCACTTGGCAATCTGTGCAAAAAAATGAAAAGAAAGAAAATGCTGATATTTGGCAAAGTGTGTCTTATCACAGCATTAGTGGCTGCAATGAGCCTGTTTGGCACTGCACAATTCTTCAAAACGGGGTTGCAGGCTCAGTGGCGGCGCTAGAGATTTCTTTTGGGGGTGCTGTGGGGTAGCTTGACGTTTCATAGAGGGTGCTCAAACATTTAGGGTTTCCCATTAATGTACCGGTCGCCACAGTGCAATTTTCTACTGCAACAATCCCCATGCAAATACACAGTGTACCTGCGACTGTTAATGAAGGCTCGATAATCAGCTCACGGCATATAGGTGTAAGCAGGGGTAAATTGCTATTTTTATAGGTGGTGTGTGGACAATATATAGGGGGTCCGGGGTCAAGCTCCCCCGGGAAGATTTTCCTTTTAGATATTGAAGTTCAGTGCATCAATCTGGTGCACTTTGAGAGAAACATGAAGAGATCTATGGATACCTCTATCAACACCCATTTGAAACAGAACTGTAAACAGATTTACTTTTTCTTTATGGATATTTTACAAATCACTCCCCTATTAAACTTTATTCTTTTTTTACTGTCATATAGTATTTCAAACCTGTTTTTCATTTATTCTCTTTTACATTAATCGTGACCAAACCGTTTGAGACCCACAGAGATAACTTAGACTAAAGTTAACTATCTAAACACTCAGATAGTCCTTTAGTTCACTGAGTCTCTCAGTCTGACAGGAGAGGACTCTCCTCCACCTTGTTGTTGAAAAAGCTCCTTATATCCGTTAGCGTAGCTCGCTAGCACCAGAAGCTAACAACAACGATCTCCGGTACCGGTGCGCTCTCTCTCTCTCTCTCTCTCTCTCTTGCGCACGCACACAAAATGGCTCGTTCCACACACACACAGAGCCGAGCTTGAATGAAACACAGAGACCCAGACGTAATTTTACTGTACTGTATCATATTATTTTCATATCAATAATTCTTCAAATTATGATTTATTTTTTTAATAACAATTTTTCCTCCTGGTCTCTCGCGCCCCCCCTGTCATGCCTCTGCGCCCACCAGGGGGGGCACGTCCCCCACTTTGAGAAACACTGGATTAATGGGACCAGTGACGAACAAGTTGTGTTCTTAATCAGCAGATAAAAGCACTGCAAAAAAATATAACATATCATACAGTCCTGGCCTCCCCAAAATCAACACGTTCCACTGTTGTGTAGATGAACAGCAGTCCTTGTTATTATGTATATATAATAACAAGGACTGCTGTTAACAATGGTTATATGATTTTGGGGAGGCCAGGACTGTATGATGTGTTATATTTATTTGTGGTGCTTTTATCCAGCTTAAATGCAGAACTTTCACATGTAATTGAGTATTTTTCAGTGGTTGAAATATTTAAACTAAGAACTGTTTCTCAATTGCTATTCAAGTATAAGTATTTGAGTTACTTGTACCTTGCTTTTCCATTTCCTATACAACCTTATACTTCTACTCCACTAGCTTGAGTTACTCTTCAGATTATAACAGCAAAGCACTGACTCAACATTTTACTGCACGATAAATTACTTTTAGATTTGATGAAGTGTATTTTACTAATAGTGCCGAACTTTGACTTATCCTGGAGTATTTTCAGTGTGGTATTAGATCTTTAACTTCAGTTCAATCAGGAAAGACTTAATTTTTTGGTTTAAAGAACATTTATTGACACATGCGCCAAATTATAGGAATGTTAATAGTCTTTGGTTATTAGACCCCGACACTGTATGGGCTACAGACAGGAAGTGAACACTAACAGGAACACTGTATGGGTCTAGACACTGGTGGGGATGTTGAAGATCTGCATTTGAAGAGGAGGAGGGATGAAGAAGATGCTGAAGAGCTGGATCTGATGAGGAGGTGTGGTTTTTGGATTCGCTCTCCTGGCACTGGATGTGATGGAGGTGGATGTGATGGAGGTGGATGGGGTGGAGGTGGATGGGGTGGAGGTGGGCCGCAGTATAAATGCCTGAAATCACAGCTGACTGCAGGAGAACCATTTTAAAGCTTGACTGCAGCATGATGATTGGCTGCTGGAGATTGAGGTGAAATGTAATTGGTTCAAAGATGATGCCAATAATGAGCTAACTACATGCAGCTGTGGAGTGGATGAATGCATTCCCAGTCTTCCTGCTTGAACTTGAGCTGAGCTTCATGAAATTATTTGAATATTTCCCCCTCCACTTCCTCTTGGCAACGGGCCACTGAGAGGAGGAGCAACACTGAAAGGAGAGTTATAACTTCACAGAAATGGAAAGGTAAAGTTAGTGTGAGCAGAGCTTCAGTCCAGACAGCGTCTCTGTTTCTCTGAAGAAACAACTGAATCCAGCAGCTTCTTCTCAACAACACAGCCAAACACTGGTGAGTAAACTGCAGAGACACGACGACTCACTACAAATTTGAACAAGGTTTGGTTTAATCAGAATCTGAGGGTTGTAGATCTGTTTTTATCAGCTATCAAGTTTTAGGCCATAGAAATGTGACATTTAAAGGGCCCATGTCATGGCCATTTCCACTGATCATAATTACATTGTTGAGGTATACTAAAATAGATTTATACTGTGCAATTTTCCAAACTCACATTGGTTTCGCATACAGCATCTCTGTCAAGCATGTGTATTCAGCAGTATTCACTTTCTCCACTAAACGACTCGTTGGAGCTCTTGCCCCCCCCTCCCTGTGAGCCTAGTGTGCTCCGATTGGTCAGCTCGGCCACTCGTTCTGATTAGTCAACCACCAGAGAGGCTGCGCCCATGTCAGTGCTTTTCCCGGCTGCTCTCAGCGTAACATCAGTCTTATCATGGCGTCGGTACAGCGGTATATTTTATATACATATATATTTTTAACTGTTGTTATAGAAGAGTGTGACGGCCCCAGGGCCTTTGTCTTACGATGGGGTGGAGCTGAAGAGGCTAATCAGCACGATCACGGACACCTCCGGACACAGTCTCTCTCCAAAGCGGCTGCAGGAAGACTAACTCTGCGATCCTCTCAACCACCTATCTTTGCATTTACCACAATAAATGTGCCGTGGTTTTGTAAACTCGTGTATGTCTCCTTGTCTTTCCGTTGTGGCCTACGAGCTACTCTCATAACAAAGAGTAAGTTATTTTTACCCGTTATAAACTACTACTGTTTGATGAGAAATCAAATCATGGTTTGCTATATATGAATTCAGGGAAGAAAGGATAGGCCTACTAAGTATTTCCATTAAACTTTATTTTTAGAAATGTACAAAATGAACATAAATATACATATATACACGGTATATCATTCATTCCTCCTCCTCGCATCTTGCCTGCGCACAGTCGGTGCGGTGCCTTTTAGCACGAGGCCTCAGTAGTAGTAGAATCCCTTCCCCGTCATGGATTGTCCGCCAGGATCTGGCTGGACGAAATCAAATGCAAATCACAAAATATTAGAGAAACTTAGTTGTTTTAGATTAGTTAGTAGTAGTTGTGTAATGAACAGCTTGCCTGCTAATATGCTAACCTAGCTTTGTTTACCTTGGTAGCTAACACGATATGAACGTTAGCTTGGAGGAAAGGCAACTATAATGCAGTGTAATAAAACTACTATGAACAAAAGCTAGTGGTTCATATTAGGCTAGCAATAACGTGTTTATAATTGCAATCGTATACGGGTATTCTGCTACCATACAATGTAACTTGCATGAATACATTGTTTTGCGCTAGCATACAGCTAGCCTCGTTAGCTACATGCAGTATATGTACGGTCACAATGTACGGTAAATCACAGTACAGTATACTGTATGAGTATTCCGTGTGTGTGACTGCAGACATTCTCCTGCCATGACAAACATGTAAGGCCATCTGCTGACATTGTAGTTGATATATTTAAACGCTAGCAACGTAGCATCACAAAAATGTTTTTCTGACCAAAACTAGCTCTAGCTCCGTGTGTTAGATCGCTACGCCAGCTATAATGTAATTACGTTTCGCGACTGACCGGCAAATCACCCGGAGTATACTGTCAATAGGTATTTTGTGTGTGAATGCAGACATTCTCCTGCTATGAGATACATGTATGCAAGGCCATCTGCTGATATTAGAGTTGATATATGGAAACTCTAGCAACTTAGTTAGCACAGTTAGCACTGTGTCAATGGCTTAGCAGTCCAACACAGTTTACACATTTAAACAGTCTTGTTTGATAAATACACAAATAACAATGCAAACTTACAGGTTGTATACCCAGATCTTCCCCTGCTCCAAACGGTCCAAACAAGCTGTGCATATCCGGCCTCAAACTGGGCAATGTTTTGGAAGCTTTCGTCTGTGAAATGCCGGTTCTTCGAACCTCTGGAGGAGGAACACGCCGCTGCTGGTGTGGCCATAGCTCTTCGGGATTGGTCCATTTCGTTCCGGGTACCGCATGACATCATGCGGTACCCGGAAGAATCAAATGGGCAGTGACGTATCTCCAACGAGGCGTTTTGGGGAGGTATTTTCTGTGTTAGAGTTTTACTCGCTACAGGGTGTACTTTGAGGGTTTTGACTCTGCACACCGTTTACATGCATAAAAACCTTCATAACACACAAGGGGACGGGTAATAACCGGAAAAGCATGACATGGGAGCTTTAAGGTAAAAGCGTGTCCATTGAGCCTCGAGTACAAAGCAGAGGTGAAACCAAACACAGTGACTGAACCCGGCTAGTGAGGGTTAGAGAGAACACAGTCACAGTTAGCATTAGCTTAAGCTCATTTCCAGACCTGTTTGCTGTAAGAACTCAAAGCCTCAGCTCTGCTCAGAAAATATTAAAGTGGCATTTTAAATATAATTTGACTCTAATAACAAAATAAGCAGCATGGTAGCAGTTTTATTACATGAATACATGTATGATGTGACAGTAATGGAGATGGACACATTGTGTTTTTAATGGTTTTCTATTGAATTTATTTAGGATCTTACACAATTGTGATGTTAACCCTTAGATGCACAAGTGACTGGACCCTATACACTCTTCCATAAGTGGGTCAAAAAGGACCCGTATTAGAATAATATGTGTTTTTATGCCATTTTTGTCCTTTTGATTAAGAGAAATCACTTGTATAATATTTAGTATTATATTTTGGTTCACACTAGAAATATTTTATATTTAATTTTTCACTATTTATAATTTTAGAAAAACATTTTACATTTTGAAAAAAAACGTTTTGAACATATTGATGCAAATATCTCCGCTATTCTGAGACCCTCACAGTATTCCAGTCCCTTTTAAAAACTCATCTCTTCTCCTCTTGTCTACTCATAGCCCACCCCCCATCAATCCATGCCGGTTGATGAAGTTTGATAGTCCTATACCCCCCACCCTAACCTTCCCTTATATTGTAAAGCGATTTTGAGTCCTTGAAAAGCCTTACAAATATAATGTATTATTATTATACTGACAGGTATCAGATCTTGCTGTGTAAAATAATCTTCCTGAGAGGTGTCACTTGTGATGTAGTCTGTGTGGTCCACAGTGAATGTATTCCTGACAGCAACAGGTGATAAGAATCAAAGGTTCCCAGAGGATCCCATAGAAAATGCTTGCGGGTCATTTTTGACCCACTTATGGAAGCTTGGGGTAGTAACACAAAAACTGCAATTTCTTAAAATGTATAAAATGTATAAAATGTCAATTTAAAATTTGAATGGCATGATATCCAAAACATGTTTTTTGAGGAAAAGCTGGAATATGAAATGATAAAAAAACGTAATTACAAAGATACATCAAGAAAACCACCTCACCGGGTCAAAAGAGACCCACTTATGCATCTAAGGGTTAACAAGAACCATCAAGCTTCAGATGATATAAGGCGCGTTCACACCGGAGTACTTTTCCCCGTACTTTTCCCGTTTAGTTCCGTTAGTACCCCTTATTTTGCGTTCACACCAAAAAGAGTACTTAGTGCCGGGAACTTTTACCCCCATTTTTAGTGCCTGCTAGAGAGGTGGTACTATCCTGGGGAGAAAAAAGTACCAATTTCTATTGGCTGGGCGAATTGCAAACCACGCCCCATAAAACTCGGAAAAGTTTTGGGAATTTGTGTAATCTTCCCTCAGGGAACTTATTCCGGTGTGAAAGCGATCTGTACTTAGTTCCATGGGGGTACTAAGTGCCGGGGCACTAAGTGCCGGCACTGTACGGCAAAGTACTTGGTGTGAAAGCGGCTATTACTGCAAAAAGGCATATGATTAGTTAAGTTTAGCCTAAATGCATTTTTACTATTAGTTGAATAACCAACAAGCAGCTGAATTACAAACGTTAATTTTAAAAGTGACTTTCAGCAGGCAGGGATCAGTAAGACAGCCTTATTCCGAGTGTTCTTGCTTTTCTCTTTGAAAGTCATCACATAACAGCATTGTAATACACGGTTCGGCTGCATTAAATATTACACATCTGCCGTAGTTCTTTATTTATAGAGCCCTGATTAGAAGACTTCTGGACAAACTGGAAGAACTGCCACCGAAACTGAATACGTGACGTGGATCATAAATATATCAGCAATTAATCAACATCTTCAATTTCTCTTCACACAATACGTCTCCTTGCAGTATCAACACTAATTCGTCTGACTTTTATATTTGATCCAATTGGTAGATAGGTTATATTTACACCATAACGGTGCACAGCTGATAGAAAGGGACTTGTAGTTTTTAAAGATATTACTGATTTTCTTTGAATATAAGAATGTAAATACTGAGTTGAGAGAATAGTCAGGGGTTTTGGGTGATGGGAGACACATCTATGGAATCACATCTATGGAATCAGAATTTCAATAGCTTACCATTAAATGACGGATATACCTTTCTGTCTGTGATGTTTTACAAATCAGATAGTAATGTGTAGAACTATATGTGAAAACATGAATAAAACTACACATCTTCAGATGTTATACATACATAGTGTCCTACACTAATAATAAAAAGTTAGTATGGCTGTGTGTGCCTTGTGTGCACCGCCTAGTGGTTAAAGCACGTTATTGAATTATTTTTTTAATATGTTATATTTGATGAAAAAAATATTAAGAGTACATACTTTCATAGGGGGAAAGTAGAAGGTCAATGATAGAAATATAGAATATAAAAAATCAAGAAGATACTGTAAGTGATCTCTACAATAAAACAGCTAGTGGAGGACGTCCAAAGATATTAATAGGATGTGCACAACAGAAAAACGAATTAACCTTTATTTAAACATTAAAGAATACTTTAGGTCTTCTTTTAATTAATAAAAAAGCTTTGGGGGTATCTACAGATAAATATTAAGCCTGACAAAGTACTTAACGTCTAATATATTGCTTTCCTGCAATGTTAACTATGTTGAAGCACTTATTTTAACTGATATTATACA